ATACCACTCTAATGGCAGAAAGTGAAGAGGAACTAAAGAGCTTCTTGATGAGGGTGAAAGAGGAGAGTGAAAGAGCTGGCTTAAAACTCAGCATTCAAAAAGCTAAGATCGTGGCATCCAGTTCCATCACTTCATGGCAAATAGATGGGGAAACAATGGAAACAGTGACAGACTTTATTTTCTTGGGCTCCAAAATCACTGCAGGTGGTGACTTCAGCCACGAAATTAAAAGAGAGTTATTCCTTGGAAGAAAAGTTATGACCAACCTAGACAGCATATTAAAAAACAGAAATTACTTTGCCAACAAAGATTTGTCTAGTCAAAACTATGGTCTTTTCAGTAGTCGTGTATGGATGGGAGAGTTGGACTGTAAAGAAAGCTGAGTGCCAAATAATTTATGCTTTTGAACTGTGTTGTTGGAGAAGACTCTTGAGAGTACCTTGGACAGCAAGAGATCCAACCAGTCCATCCTAAAGTAAATCAGTCTTAAATATTCATTGGAAGGACTTTTGCTGAGGCTGAAACTCCAATACTTTGGCCACCTGATGCAAAAAAACTGACTCATTTGAAAAGACCCTAATACTGGGAAAGATTGAAGGCAAGAGAAGAAGGGGATAACAGAGGATGAGATGGTTGGATGGCATCACCGACTCAAATGACATGAGTTCGAGTAAGGTCTGGGAGTTGTTGAGAGACAGGGAAGACAGGTGTGCTGCAGTCCATGGTGTCACAAAGACTAGGACTTGACTGAGCGACTGAATTGAACTGAACTGATCACATAATTTCTCTATATATTATTTTCCTGTATCACATCTACCAGTTAAATTTTAATAAACATCAACCAGGTTTTTCACTGTTGAAAAAAAAATAGTATTAATCTCATAGTAATAAAATACTTTTATAAAACATACAATATTTAAAGCATGACTATCATAATGCTATTTCATTCACATTTAGTTCACTCAGTTTTCATTTTATATTAATGAGTATTTAAAATATATCAATTGTCCATAACTATGATGCCATTATTATCTATTTCAAAATATTAAATGAGGTCTATATTTTCTACTTAAAAAAATGAATCTTATTTTTCAGAATTTTTAAATAGTGCACCATGCAATGAAATGAGTTCTGCCCACATTTTTGTTATCTTAACCTATCACATTGTTCTTGAACCTTTATACTAAAATAATCTTTTATCCTCAAATTTTCTTTTTAAAGTCCTATGGTTGTGTTCTTATTGAAATACATTCAACACAGTTATTATTG